AAACTTCACATAACACAAATTCTAATTCCTCAACCATTTTTAAAAGCGCCAATTCAAAAAGTTCAGTGGGAGTATTAGAATTTGTGTTATGTACATCCCGAGAGTAATCTCTCAATTTTAAAATCGACGTCTTCCCCTTATCAATAGTCGGCCCAATGATTTTTCTCAAGGTCTATGGACTCAAGTTGACTAAGCTGGAAGGTGTCTTTGGATCCTTCTCTGTAGCCAACTCAGCCAAAGGAGATATTGGAAAAGAAAGAATTTCATTCAGAAAACATTACCTAGACCTCTCAAGAAGGTTAACAAAAAATTTTACCAAAGAAGGAATTGAAAAAGTCATACTCTCAAGAGCTTTTTCGCTGACTTCAATACTCAGCATTTCAACATTTTTTACTTTATAGGTGCCTGAGTGATTTCAACTATTGCCACCGCTTCGTTTCTTGGGACCCTTCTCTACGAACTTTTATTTCGTCCGGTGTAAGTATACAGAGGAACATCCGGTTGTAGGCAAAATCGCGCCTATACCGGATGTTCCTCTGCATCCGGTCGGAGGACGTAATAATTCTTCCTTCTCTACAGCCAACTCAACCTAAGGGGAGGTTAAAAGAGGAAAGATTTCATTCAAAAAATTACAAGGAATTAAAAAATTTATACCTTTAGGAGCTTTCTAGCTAAACTTCAATACTCAGCCCTATTTGTTGCTCAACATGCACCTAGGCGACTTCAATTAGTACTACCTTAATAGGCGGTTGGGCAACTTCAGCCTCAGTTATTACAGTAGATGGTTGGACGACTTCAGCCTCATCTATCTTTTACAAGAATGAGTATTGCAAAGCTCAGAGGCAAGGAAGGAATGCAGAAGAAGCATTTGAATGAAAAATAATAATTTTTTATTTATAGGCTAAGTATTTGATGATATTGACAAAAGGATATATCAAAAGTCAACATTAAATTGATTAACTGGCATCCAACATTAAAAAAAAAAAAATTATTAGAGTTTTATGAATAGTTAATGAAGAATATTTTTTAGAATAAATTTTAAATGTATAAGAGAATCGAGGAACTAAATGTACAACTTAATGTACAAAAAATCAGGATCAAAATAAGTAAACCTGGTTTAAGCTAATTTGATGTTATTCAAGCCAAGCCGACTTGGTCTACTCAGTTTCAGCTCAAAAGAGATTTGTCGGTCTATAAGAGACCTCACCTTAAGTGGTTGAATGCAATTTTAAAACTCGGCCCAACCACGCAAGTACAATCTACAAAATCGAACATAACCACTGCTTGAGGGAACAACTTTTTCATAAGAGAAATTATTGATCAATTACTCGACTATTCAATCATCAATACATGCCAAGCCTGCGACTTTTTAGGAGCTCGATGGACAGCTTGATCATGTCGAGCATTCCCAACAAACTAAACAATTATGTTATCTTTCTCTTATTTATTGTACAACCATGTATATAGTCATTTTTGTATCACTCAGGCCCCAAACCAAATCTATAAATAAGGGGTTGAGTGAGCTTAATTTATGTAATTTTGTGTAATTGAGTTTATTTTATAAAAAAAAATTAAAGCTTCTCACTCAAGAATTCTACTTTTCTCTCTTTACTCAATTTTTTTTTCTTTTCACTCGATATTCTCATCATAGTTACATGTGATTCACAAATAATTTTAGATTTAACAAAAGGACAACATAAAAACTTTGCTGCAATTTTTCTTATTCAATTGCTAAATTCTATGGCTATCATTCAAAAAGGTAAAAAGGAGAATATCAAATTCTATGCTATGGTTTAATGAGGAAAAAAAAAAAGATGATCTAGTCGCGAACAAATCGTTGATCGATTTCGATATGTTTTGTTCGTGCGTGAAAAACTGGATTGTTTGCTAGAGCAATCGCCGAGGTGTTATCGCAGAACAAATCTGTGGGTTGTTCGGATGGAATTCCAAAATCAGCTAGGATCCATTTCAACCAAATTATGTCGGCGGTGAGGGCAGCTAGTGATCGATATTCTGATTCAGTGGAAGATCGCGCAACCGTATGTTGTTTCTTGACGGTCCATGAAATAAGAGTTGTGCCGAGGAATGAACAGTAACCGGAGGTGGATTTTCTTGAGATTGGATCACCCGCCCAGTCCGCGTCTGAAAAAGATTGAAGAACCAGATTATTACGAGTAATAGGTAAACCATATGCTAACGTACCTTTTAAATATCTGATTTGCCTCTTTAGAAGGTATTGATGTTGTGGACTGGGATCGTGCATGTGTTGCGAGAGTAAGTTAACACTGAAAGCGATATCTGGACGAGTTAGAGTTAAGTATTGTAAAGCGCCAGTGATTTTCCTGTACATTGCGGGATCGGAAATAACGTTATTTGGAGAGAACGCCGAGGGAAATTTTGTGACAGTGGGGTTGGCTAAGGGATTACATTTGAGCATATCAGCTTGCTGAAGTATAGAGGCGGCGTACTTCTCCTGGGACAGAAAATACTTAGAGTTGTGCTTTGTAATATGAATGCCTAGGAACATGTTTGCCTCTCCTAGATGTTTCATGCTGAACTGACGGTTTAGTTGATGAAGCAGTCTTTGAATAGCCACTGGATTGTCCCCTGTAATTAATATATCATCTACATAGACTATAAGATATATTGTAGCAAATTTTTCTTTTAATAAAAGTAACGAAGGATCCGATTTACTATGCGAGAAACCGATTGACAAAAGATATGTTGTGAATGTAGTATACCATTGTCTTGGAGCTTGACGAAGTCCATATATGGCTTTATTCAGTCGGCATACCTGGTGAGGATGAGTAGCATCCTCGAAGCCCTTTGGTTGCATCATGTAGACTAATTCTTGTAATTTTCCATGTAGGAATGCATTGGCTACGTCTAGCTGTTGAACTGACCAGTTGTAGTGAAGAGCAACTGTTAGGAGAATCCGAATTGTAGGTAGTTTTGCAACCGGGCTAAATGTCTCATTATAATCGATTCCTTGTTCTTGATGATTGCCAAGTGCAACCAGACGTGCCTTGTAGCGGGCGATGGAACCATCGGAGTGGTATTTTGTTCTAAATGTCCACTTACATCCCAACGGATTTATACCTTTCGGAGGCTCGACAAGTGACCACGTTCCTTGTGTTTGTAGTGCAAAGAATTCAGCAGCCATGGCTTTTCTCCATTCAGGGTGTTTGGATGCCTTGGTATAGTTTGTAGGATCTTTGTGTTGATGAGATGGAAGAGTTGTGTGAAGTAGATTGAGCTTTACAACTGGTTTAAGCTTTCCTGTCTGCCGTCTGGTGACCATAGGATGGCCAGCTTGTTTGGTAATGTGTGTGGGAGACTCTGCAACCGGTTGAATGATGGAAGGAGCGTCCGAGTGGTTTGGAAAATGAACCTGGTTTTCCTGTTGGTTACCTTGCTGATCGGAGGGACAAATTGTGCTGGTGTTGGTAGCATGAGGATGAAATAATGTGTTGGGAGTTGGTTGAAGTAGCGCAGGATTTGTGTTGTCAGCATGTAAATGATCTGGCTGTGAGGTCTTGTTAGTAGAAAATGGAAAAATGTTTTCTGCAAATGTAAGATGTCTCGACATGAAAAGTTTGTTAGTCGATATGTCAAGACATTTGTATCCCTTATAATTTTCGGAGTAGCCAAGGAACACACAGGAGTGGGCTTTCGGTTGAAGTTTGTTCCGTAGAGCACTAGGTATGAGTGGGTAGCACGCACATCCGAAGGTGCGAAGATGGCTATAGTCCGGGTGATGGTTGTACAGTAATTCGAACGGAGATTTGTTGCTTGTGGTTGGTGATGGCATATGATTTATTAGGTAGACGGAGGTAATAGTGGCGTCGGGCCAGAATTTATAGGGAACGTCAGCAGTGAACAACAGAGATCGTGTTGTTTCTATTATGTGCCTGTGCTTTCGTTCAGCTAGGCCATTCTGTTCAGGCGTGTATGGACAGGAAATTTGATGGAGAATTCCATTATCTTTCAGAAACTGAGTTAGCTGATGATTTGTGTATTCCGTGCCTCCATCCGTGCGGAGACTTTTAATCTGATGAGATGTAAGTTTCTCAACATAATTCTTAAAATTAAAGAAAATGTTAGGTACTTCAGATTTTTGTTTCATTGGAAAAAGACAAACAAATCTAGTATAATCATCTACAAACAAAACATAGAATTTGTAACCTTGAGTTGACTCAACCGGGGCAGGACCCCAGACATCCGAGTGAACTAACTCAAGAGGGGTACTTCGTCTATTTGACGATTTTTCAAATGGCATTTTATGAGCTTTTGCAAGATTACAAGAATGACAAATATCAAAGTCAGAAACTATATGAAGATGAGAGTTACAGTTCTTGATTAATTCAAGAGTTCTGGAGTTTGGATGACCCAAACGGTTATGCCATGAGATATGGCCTTTGGTGGTAGCCTTGAGAGCAGCTGCTGTGGCGGAAGACTGCTGTGTTCTAAGTAGATACAGGCCATCAAGACACGGTCCTCGGAGCAAAATTTGCTGCGTCTGCAAGTCCTTAAACACGAATTCATTAGGCTCAAAAGTAATTGATATATTATTATCCTTAGTTAACTTGGATATGGATAATAGATTATACTTGAGCTCTGGAACGTGTAAAAGCTGAGCAAGATTAAACTTACGAGAATATGTATGTAACAAACCTGAACCGGAATGGGCTATTTGAATTGAACGCCCATCTCCGATCGTAACGTTATCTGAACCTTGATACGAATTGGTGACTGATAGGTTGTCCAGAGAGTTGGTGAGATGAGATGTCGCACCCGAATCAAGAAACCAATTTGTTGTAGACGAACTTTGCGCTGCTGTGAGAGCTCGGTTGTTAGACCTGGGAACGTATTGTTCATTTAGGCGATGCCAACAGTTAGCCGCCGAATGGCCCTTCTTGTAATAGATCTGACACGTGGTTGTTGACCTCGATTTTGCTCAGAATTGGGCTTGGAGGGTTGACTTGGTCAAACATGGATATGTTGTGGAGTTCATTTTTGAGTTGGATTACTTTGGATCGATTCGTGGATTGGAAGCGTGTTTCAAGTGCTGTCCATATGGTGGCCGTGGATTCGAGATGGATGATGTATGGTAAGATTGACTGTGAAATGGTAGAACACATGGCTGCCGCAAGGTTTTGATCCATGTGAATCCATTGCGTATATTTGGGATTAGGGACAAAAGATTCGTCGGATGTCCTGATTTGTTTATCAGGTGGAGAGAAAGCGGGATCAAGAAATTGTTCAAACCCGTTTGCGCGGAGAAGTTTGACAATCTGGGATCTCCATAATGAGTAGTTTTCCGGTGAGAGTTGCGTTGGCACAATATTCTTCAGGTTTGACATGACAAACTTCAAGGATGATGGGATGATCATTTCTCCAGCGTTCTCTGCGTCTGCGGAGTGCTCACCCATTTGAGACGTCATTGAGTTTTCCATTTCGCTACACTTCCTTCCACCCCTGCTCTGATACCATGTAGAACTTATGGTTCTTGAGCTGTTGCAGGTTCTTGAAAGAACCGGACAGAAAAAGAAGACGAAAACAATTAAAGAAACTAAATGAAATTATATTCTTTGTTCTTGTCCAACAGATACATGGGTCATCTTTATATAGGCGTACATATGTGCAGTTGTAAGTACATGCTATATTACAGATATGCTATAAGTTAATTTAATACAATTCAGCTTTTGTCTTCTAACAATATCTCCTCTGCATGCTTTAAAATTTCCTTGCAAATTAAAATTCCAGATTTTTCTGTCCTTGAAATTGGGTAGGATACCATGATCAGATGTTTGATTATAGCCCTTGGGGATGCATGGAAACATTACTGATTCTTCTACAAGATTTGATGCTGTAAATTTAGTAAAAATTTGACAAACAAGTAAGGTCCACCATATTTAATTCAGCCTTTTTAAAAAGTGTAATAAAGGTAAAGTTTCTGATATAAGAAAAGCTAGAACTAGATGCTAATCAGAATATATACCATAAACTCCATAAGACTGGTGAAAGCTAATATAACACAATGGAACAATATATTGTATCAAAAAGGATGAAGCCTGTTGCACATGAAAAAAACTTCAATTCTTATGCTACATATACTAGGTAACATTGTTCTAAATTTAAAAAAAATAAAAAATCAAAATCAAGTTAAACCTGCTCGTAAAATTCATAACTTAGTTATTATGAATCATGGATTTCTCCGACAAAACTTTTTCTGGTAACAAGTCATTTGATCCGAACAATTCAGTCTCCATTGCCCCGTCTCTTTGATACCTCCTCCAGCAAAACTCATCATATGTGCTCAAGCTTGAGGTTGAGCCTGGCTTGAGAGTAGAGGAGCCAAAACTCGTATTAGCACCGGCTCTAAACTCAATTTGACTTATTTATAATCGTCGTCTGAGATGAGTGTGAGAAGCACTTTTCTTCAATAAAATGCGCGTTGGAATAACATTTTTCTTCTATAAATAGTACAACCCCAGATATTGCTTTGGTCACTTCTGTCCCGGCCGGCTATGAAGCCATGGCTCCTTCGCGCTCCCAAAGCGGGGATTCCATTGCGCGGGAAAAAGAAGAAGGTCCCGCTTCCCATTTTCAATGCCCAGGAGAGCCCTAATTCCGAGTGTCTCGATGTTTCGTTCTCCGCTTCGCCGCCCCCAATTTCCATAATCACCGACAACCTTTCGGTACTTCATCGAATTACGCGACCGCCGTGGCCGGCGATCTTGATGAGGTAGAATCGAATTATTGATGATTTCTCTTTCACTGGAGAACTCCGATCAATCTGGGCTACCAGAGTTTCCACCCGCGCCCTTGCTGGAACCCGTCGGAGCTGCTACGGAGAACCTGAAGGAGGCGAGCACATCGGTTGAGCCGGCGTCTTTCATTGAAGATATTGTAAGAGGCGGAAGTTGTGCGGAGGAGGTGAGCTCCTAACTAAAATATTTTTTCTCTGTTTTTCGTCCTTGATATCCCATCATATGACGAGTTTCCACCCGCGCCTTTGCTGGAACCCGTCGGAGCTGCTACGGAGAACCTGAAGGATATCGGTTGAGCCGGACCTATAAAATAAAGATTTAGAATAACATTTTATATACTATAAATAAAAGATTTAGAATAACATTTTAGGATAATTTTGGAAAAAATTATATTGGAAGGTTTGAAAAATCCTCTATTTTATTTAATTAAAAACTAATTCTTATTCCCAATAATAAGAATGTAGTATAATTAAAGTTTTAAAATAATGTTCTGACTAATCCCTAAAAATCTGATAACATTCTGAAAATATAAAAATATATTCAACAGTTAATATTTTTGCATACTAATGAAGTATTCTTTAAAATTCTGATACTAGGTTATATGTATTTTTTATTTTACTGTAATGCAATGATATATGTATTTATATGCTTGAAATGTATGATTCTGATGAGGTTTGATGTGTGGTGGAAGTTCTGCTATGGTACTAAATTCACATCTGTTTTGGGGTTGAATGCACATAGGATTATATATTATTTTTCTGCTCTAATATTAAAGTGCATGTTTATTTAAATCTCATAGCACAGACTATGTGCTTCAATGATGTTGAAGTTTGTGATAATGGATTCATTGGATTCGTCTCATTGAGATACTCGATTAACTATTTGGTCATCTAATTAATGTCATAAAGTTTTTATTTGTTTGTCTCATTAAGATGTTTAATTTCACTAAAAGTTCATTATAATTGGAATTTAAATTATCACAACTATAATTATGAATGCTTTTATACCAAATATTATATCGAGATTAGTGTTTGATCAAATGAATATTTTTGTGACGCATCAAGTTCTAGTTCAGACGATCCTTAAATTTGATTCCGAAAGTTTACAAACCAAAAATTGTACTGATATTTAGGGTTTAATTGGCTATATTTTTTTGGTGACCTATCAATCGTTGAAAAATTCATTTTATTCAATGTGCAGCTTCTTTCAATCCATTACAACCAAAATTTCATAATTTTTTTCTCCCAAAATTGGTTTCCGGGTCTTTTCAAATTTAGCTCTCAGGTCATTTTCTCTGCTACGTTGCTTGCGGGGTTTTGCAAGACAATACATGATTTGTTGTGGTTATTTTATAAAATTAACATCATATTATTTTTATTTCTAATAATATAATATAATCTGAATTGATTTGATCGTAACATAAGGAAACCTATAAGTAAGAGCTTGAGAATATTTGAGTGAATATGGAGAGTAGAGAAAAGAGTTCTTGAATTTATGTAAGTCTCATAGCGAATGATATAAGATCAAAAACATCAAAAATATGTCTCTTCATCTGTTATCTATTGAGCTTAAAGGATTATAGGGAAATCTATATGTAGAAAAATATAGAAAGTATAATATATGATATGATTAATACATACTAACATAGACATATGACCTAGTTAGTTAACATCCGCATGTATCCCTACCTTTGGCATCACACTCTACTATAATCCATCTCGCTGTTGTTGGTCACTCTCATTGTTGGGCTTTGCACTACATTCATTTTATTTGAAGCTAAATAAAAAAATAATCTTCTGCATTTATTTTTTTATTTATCCAAATAATTCTAAACATTTCAAATATAATATTTTTTTACACTCTATATATCTATATTATAAAAATGTAATCGGAGGAAAATTAGGTGATGATATTCTTGTCAAAATATTTTTTTGATAAAATTTGATACGTCATCAAAAAATAATCTTGATCGGGCATGAATCTCGAGGCAAAATCAAATTGGAAACTATCGATATTAAAATTGGGACCATCCGAACTTCGATTTTAGCAAACCTACAGTCAAACTGAACGTCTCGGAAATACGAACCCATGACACCAAATTTGACTCAATCTGAGCTCAAATGAGTCCAAATCAAGGACCCGAAGTGCTATTGAAAGGTTTGAACCACAATTTTGATTACCAAACAGTTTTCAAACAGTGCGTGCTTATATTCTAATTGAGCGGCTCGACGAGACGAATCCAACAAGCCCAATATCGCCAAATTTTGACATCACTAAGATCTTTAAATGTCTTAAGAACGGTCAATGATCAAGGGATTCAACATCGGACGTCCATTCAACCACTCCCCATTTACCCTTGTTCTCTCACCTATTTACAGACCATGCCACTCAAAAAATCTATAAATAGACTCCTCATTTCTCTTGAAAAGGGATTGGAGCAAAAAGAGAAGAAGAGAAGGAAAAAGCTCCTCCTCGACCACCGCCTGAGTTCATAGGACCACCACCTGAGACCCTCACCTCCGCCAGACCACCATCTGACGTCGTTGCTCCGCCGGACCACCACTTGAGGCCCTCACCTCCGCCGGACCACTTCCTGATGTTGTTGTTCCGTCGGACCACCGCTTAAAGCCCTCTCCTCCGTCGGACCATCGTCTGATGTCATTGCTCCGTCGGACCATTTGAGGCTCTGTGCTCCACCAGGCCTCCACCTGAGGCTCGGACTTCCGCCGGATCACCACTTGAGGCCCTGTGCTCCACCAGACCACCACATGATGCCCGAACTTATGTCAGACCACCACCTGAGGCCTGGACTTCCGCTAGACCACCAATGATGCCCTATGATCCACCAGAACACCACCTGAGGCCCAGACTTCCGTCGGACCACCGCATGACCTCGTTGCTCCACCAGACCACTACCTGAGGCCCAGGCTTCCGCCGGACCACCGCCTGACGTTGTTGCTCCGTCGGATCACCACTTGAGGCCTTGTGCTCCACCAGGCCACCACTTGAGGCCCTCACCTCCGCCGACAACCACTTGAGACCCGAACTTCTGTCCGACCACCGCCTGACGTCATTGCTCCGCCGGACCACCACTTGAGACTCGAACTTCCACCGGACCATCGCCCGGTGTCGTTGCTCCGCCAGATCACCACTTGAGGCCCTAACCTCCGTCGGACCATCACCTTAGGCCCAGACTTCCGCCAGACCACCGCCTGATGTTGTTGCTCTGCCGGACCACCACTTGAGGCCCTGTGCTCCACCAGGCCACCATTTAAGGCCCAGACTTCCGTCGGACCACCGCCTATCATAGTTGCTCCACTGGACCACCACCTAAGAAGAGTTCGGCCGGACCACCGTCTGATGTCATTGCTCTACCGAACCACTACTTGAGGTCCTGTGCTCCACCAGGCCACCACTTGAGCCTCTGTGCTCCAGCATGCCACCAGCTGAGGCCCAGACTTCTGTCGGACCACCACCTGACGATGTTGCTTCGCCGGACCACCACTTGAGGCCCGGACTTCCGCCGGACCACCACCTAAGACCCAAAATTTAGCCGGACCACCAACTGAGGCCAGGACTTTTGCTGGACAACCACCCGATGCCCGAACTTCTTCCACCGAACTTCTATTAGAACACCACCTGATGCCCAAAATTCTACCAGAGTACCGCCCTGCTACAACGGTCTTTCAAACCTCGGTCTCCTACATATTACGATCCTTCCAACGTACATCGCTGGACAATGGGCTTTTTGATCCCAGTCTCCTGCTAACTACAATTTTTTCGACCTCTATCCCATCGACTATGGTCCTGCCGACCAAACAAACATGTCTATGTAACTCCCACCATGTAATGTGCTCTATAAGATGTACGTTTGTGACATCAAGCCAAGGCCTTCTCCTAAGAAAGGGCCTCATTTGTAATCGACTGCAAATACTAATGGATTCATTCAAACTGGGCCAGGTCCCGTGATTTTTCCTCCTTTTCAGGGGTTTCCACATAAAACTCTAGTGTCTCTTATGAACGCTACACTCTTTTATCTGCTAGTGTGCTGGATCGTCGTACAACACTAAGACGTTAAACTTCATATTTCTCTACCGTCGTGAATATTCCAGGACGTAACAAACTTTAAATTTTTTTTAGAATTATTTTGAATAATAAAATACATTATAATCAATTGAATTATATTATGTTAATTTCATAATAAATTCAAAATTAGGTAGCCTTCTGGAGCCACCTCGGTGAGGAGATCGGAGACTAGCGCAGCACCGATAAAGAATGCCAGCGTCAGCTCCCCCATCCTCACAAGGAAGAAGAAGACGCCATCACACCCGTTTCGTCGCTTCCTCTGTTCAATTTCGGGCAATAACACCTCCCTGATTGCATCGCAAAGCTTCTCCATCGCTTATGAGAATCCAGCCATCGCTAACTCCAAATTCCGCTCTCCTTCATCCTTCGCAGAACAATTTCCCATGACGAACTCCGTTAAAATCTAGAAACATAGGAGGCTGGTAATATGATGGGATATATTTTCCCTATTCTTAATAAAAGAGAAATTATCGAATAATTCGATTATACCTCATCAAAATCGCAAGCCGCGGAGGTCACCGAATTAGTCCCACACTCATTGGAATATCTTTTCCCTATTCTTAATAATATATGAGGTGAAATATTTTATTGTGTTCGTTGAAAGGAGAGACGGTTGGCATCTCCCCAGACAGGGACGGGAACGGCTTTCGAGTTTTTCTGTAACCTATCACATGCGGTTAAGGCTATCCGCTTTGGCGGTTCTTACCCAAAATTTTTTTATATTATGATTCATGATATAAATAGCTAATGCATTGTTCGTTAATTTTATTCCATATGTAAAATAACAAAACAAACCGTTAGATTCATGTTAGTAATTTCTTATACATACTTAATTTTTTTTTATCATACAAATATTATCTTATAAAATAAATAATATAAATATATCTACAAAATATATGATATATAAAAATACATGAAAAGCTATACAACTTTAATTGATTAATATATTTATATTTATAAAAAGGACTCTTAGCCCATAAAAAAGGTTTAATCATAATTTTTTTAGTCATAATTCAATATTTATAATAATGATAAGATGTCATTCACATTTCAAAGAGAATTAATAAGCAAAACCTTTTAACTATACAAATTGAGTCGTAAGAATAAGTTTTGGAAGTCAGATGTGTGTTTCTTATGTGAGAGTGTTGAAGATAGAGCATTGAGCAAATGGAAAATGGTGAAGTTGTGTGAGAGGGAGAAGATCCTTGTGGGTTTCAAGGGAGTCGAAGAGGAGTATTCGCAATGTTGCTCAAACGAACTTGCACCTGAGTTCCTCCATGTGTCAATATTTTCCTTAAGGGAAGCTCTGTGAAGAATCATTTGGTGTTAAAAGCCATCAGTTACCCCACCACACTGAGGAGCTGAAAGGAATTTCGATTATCCGCCACATTGAGAAGGTTAAAAGGATTTCAACACTCCGCCGCTTCGAGGTGAAAAGAATTTCGACTACTCCGCATCACTATGGAGGTGAAAGTGATTTGAGTTTGCGTATGTAAGGGCTTTTTGGCCTAGCCGTGAGGCTAAAGGAGAGTCACTATTAATTAGTGCAAAACTTGAAAATAACTTAAGCGAGTAGACATATGTCAAGTTGATCGAACCACTATAAAATTTCATTTTGTTCTTTTTCTCTTCGCATTTACTCTGCAACTTTTTACTTTCCCGTATAGCTACTTTTCTACAATCTCACTTGAGTTTGCTTATTAATGTGATACAAAAATCATCGTAATTGATTATAATTTATATTTGTTTAAAAATATTAAAAATCAGAAAAAAATAAAATGAACAAAAAATTTGTTACTTATTTTTTTAGAAAATAAAAAATAGAATTTATTATTTTATTCACTTCTCCATTAAATTATGAATTTATTGTTAAATTCAAAAAGATTTAGATTTTTTTTTAAAATATCAATTTACCCCACTCCTGATGTGTCATTTCAATATTTAATTGGTTTCACAACCATCTATTAAACTCTCAAAAAATTAAAGTTGTATGAGATACTACCCAACATGGGTTAACCCTCAAAGTTAAGTTGCAAGTTTTAAACCATCATGTAACAATTGGTCATTGTATTTTGCAACATTTATTTGTATTTAGACTAAATACTATGTTTCATATGCCACACACTATACCTACACTTCATTTTTTGATAATCTTTGACTTAGTATATTAGGGTTACTTAATTGATATGGATCAAGTCTGACACAATAAATGTGAGCATAGCATTGATCAATTCATTTCTCTTAATTGATTAATCAATATTTCAATACACACGCCAATTACACCGTTGTCAGACTTTAGCCTGACCGTTGTTAAACCACCGCCCGGCTGGAGACAGTCGCCGGACTTTCTCCCAGTAGCCGACCGCCGCCGGATCGCCGACCGCTTCCAGAATTCCATCTGGCCACCAACCACAGTCGGACTTCAGGCTGACTTTCGTCGGACCATCGCCAGGCCGCCGACCGCCGCCGGACTTCCACCTGGCCGCCAACCGCCATCGGACTTCAGCCCGGCCATCGTCGGACCACCGCCCGGCCGCCGACTGCCGTCGGACTTCCACCTGGCCGTCGACCGCCACTGGACTTCAGCCCAACCATCGTCAGACATTTGCCCGGCCGCCGACCGCTGCCGGACTTCAGCCTGACCGTAGTCAGACCGCCGACTGCCGCCAAACTTTTACTAAGCTGCCGACCTCCTCCGGACTTATGTCTGACCTTCGTCGGATCACCATCGAATCGTCGCCTACCTCTGGACTTCCACCTGGCAGCCGAGCATTGCTGGACTTCCGCCCGACCTTCGTTGAATCATTCTCCATCAGCTAAACTTCTGCACGAACGCCATCGGATATTCCGCCAGACTATCACCAAACCTTTGTCTAACTCTCCAAACTACCATAATTTGACCGCTTCTAAGTCAAGGGATGGGGCAACCTTTGTAATTCACTCAAATTTAGTTGAATCGTTTCCCCTGGGCGAGTCCCCGTGGTTTTTTCTCTTTGGGCTTTCAACGTAAAAAAGATCAGCTTTTTTTACTTCTCTCTTTATTTGTGTGTTAGATATCTGTGCATCGCTAAGACGAAAAATTTACTCACTCTATCACCACGAATATTCTAGCCTGCAACAATACTAAAGGAGGACCCTAAGATTAGATCTTCCAAACAAGGTCATTATATTACATTCAAGGTCAATAGTCCAATGCAATCCAAAATTTAAAAAAAAAAAATACTAAATAAAAAAAATAAGTGGAATTCTTGCTAAATGTCAATACAAATTCGATTTTGTATGAAGTTTGAAGATCTCTTAAAAATTCTAATCACCCAACTATCTCCTAGAACCATATTCAATGCCACATTATCAATGTTTCTAAAAGCAATAATACATCACATTAACATCAAATTGCCCAACATCATCAACAACAAACCTTTATCTCATTATATGGGGCCGGCTGTATGAATCGGTTTTCTCCATTGTGTCCTATCAAGAATAAAATTCTCATCTAAATCTAAAAAAGAAAAGTCATTTCCAACATGACTATAATAAAATTGTTTCCATAAACCATGAATTTGCTCTAAGATTTTTTATTCATCTCGAGCTTTTTTTGGAACACTGAAACATGGATTTGCTTTAAGACTTCTGATTCGATTCGATTCGATTGTAATAGGGTGTGCAAATCCCAACTGAAATACAGGAAACTCTTTCTATCTATCTATCATAACTACGTTTACGCATCAATTGATTTATACAAATTTTTTATCCGATAGGATTGTCTTCAGTTTTTTTATCATCTGATTACAACTAATTTTCAAAACAAATAACCAATAATTGTATCGAATATGTTGCTTTTCTAGGAATTGAAAGTCTTTAAAAACCACCTAACGCAGCAAAAAAAAATCATCTATGATGACCTTAAACACAGAAATCATAGTTTTAAGTTTACTCCCGTTAGAAAAACATACTTACTGTAAACCATTTCCAGCGCCTGGCCGACTGAATCACGACGGAGCAGATCCGTTGAACTCCGACAAGTTATTCAAGATTAGGCAGCCTTCTGGAGCCACCGCGGTAAGGAGAACGGAGACCAGCACAACACCGATAAAGAATGCCAGCGTCAGCTCCCCCATCCTCACAAGGAAGAAGAAGACGCCATCATTCCCGTTTCGTCGCTTCCTCTGTTCAATTTCGGGCAATAACACCTCCCTGATCGCATCGCAGAGCTTCTCCATGGCTTCTGAGAATTCAGCTATCGCTAACTCCAGATTACGCTCTCCTTCATCCTTCGCAGAACAATTTCCCACGATGATCTGAGCTTCTGGTTGAGCGGTCATCTCCGACGACTCCGTTAAGATCTAGAAACATAGGAAGCTCATCATATGATGGGATATCAAGAACAGGAAAAGAGAAAAAATATTTTAGTTAGGAGCTCACCTCCTCCGCACAACTTTGTCCGCATCTTACAATATCTTCAATGAACGACGCCAGCTCAACCGATGTGCTCGCCTCCTTCAGGTTCTCCGTAGCAGCTCCGACGGGTTCCAGAAAGGGCGCGGGTGGAAACTCTGGTAACCCAGATTGATCGGAGTTCTCCAGTAAAAGAGAAATCATGGAAGAATAATTCGATTCTACCTCATCAAGATCGCCAGCCACGGCGGTCACGTAATTCGATGAAGTACCGGAAAGGTTGTCGGTGATTATGAAAATTGGGGGCGGCGAAGCGGAGAACGAAACATGGAAACACTCGGAATTAAGGCTCTCTTGGGTATTGAAAATGGGAAGCGGGACTTTCTTCTTTTTCCCGCGCAATGGAAACCCCGCTTTGGGAGCGCGAAGGAGCCATTGCTTCATAGCCGGCCGGGACAGAAGTGGCCAAAGGAATATCTGGGGTTGTACTATTTAATAGAAGAAAAATGTTATTCCAACGCCCATTTTATTGAAGAAAAGTGCTCCTCATACTCATCCCAGACGACGATTATAAATAAGTCGAATTGAGTTTAGAGCCGGTGCTAATACGAGTTTTGGCTCCTCTACTCCCAAGGCAGGCTCAACCTCAAGCTTGAGCACATATGATGAGCTCGGATCAAATGAGACGGAGCAATGGAGAATTAATTGTTCGGATCAAATGACTTGTTACAAGAAAAAGTTTTGTTGGAGAACATGATGTGAGTTTGTTGTCAAAGGAATCATCTAAGTAGCGATATGTATCGAAGAAGGGGAGTTCGTTAAGCTTGTAAGACTATGATTCTCAAATCAAGTTTGCATATATATATATATATACAGGTGCACACACATTATAAAAAAAAAAAAGAAAAAGGTACACACACATTATACTAATACTAATAAAGAAATTTTATTTTATATAAAAAACATGCTTGAAAGTTCCTTCTTGATCAAAATCCTCTGTTAATAGTTAGGTGACCTTTCGACCATAAGAGCTCGTTGATTATTTCCTTCCCATCATCTTCATTCTTTCTAATAAATGGAGTCAAATCATTTTTTTTCTATGTTAAATTTTCACAGCAATAACCTCTTTGTTCATCACTTTGAAGGCTACTGTTGTTCGTCATTTAGTCATTTATGATTGAAAATAGGCTTTACACTCTTAAATCTAAACCTCTTTGTGATTAAATTTTAGTTTACGTGCAAGAAACTTGTTATGTTAGAGCCATCTTTCAATAATATTCCTCATCAAACTATGATTAATTTTTTATAAAATAATGTGAATGATTGATTAATTTTTTATAGAATAATATGAATGATCTTCAAACCATGATCAAACATTATTTAAATATTATTCTCTCAATTTTTGAAAATTATCTACCCATAATTGATGAGTCTTCAAACAAATTAAAGATTGAGCAATCTTTGAATGATCTTCAACGTATGACCAAATCATGATCAAAAAGTGTTAAAGAAGGGTTAAAGATGGTTTGAAGATGATTCAATCATGTGTCAAAGATGGTTTGAAGATTCTTCATTCTTGGGTTAAAGATGGTTTGAAGACTCATCGAATATAGGTTAAATATGGGCCAATCATAATCTTGCATGGCTTAACGATTATTGAAGAATATTTGATCATGATCCAAGATGTTTCAATTATTCTCAATGGTAGTTCAAAATTATTTTTGTATTGCATCACCGCTTTTAGAATTGACTTATCACAACCCAACCCAATATGACCCATGTACACTCATGAATAGCTATGTAGTACATGTTTGCAAGTGTCTTGCAGGTTATGTATGGGACGAGCGATAAGAGGAATTCCTCCACTCTCAGAATAGCAAGTTTGAGGGACTCGCATAAGAGATGGAAAGAGCTTAACACTAGATTACGATGGATCGAGATCTATCACATCCTCCAAGTAATCGTCTCCCTCCAAGGGAAGGAGGCCGTAGAAGTTCCTTTCTCAGCCAGACAAACCTTTAGGGGTGTCAATGTTTGACACGACCCAAAAACCTGACTTGAACCCGGTCCAAAAATTCTAGGTTAGAGTCAACCCGGACCCGAAATGGATCGGGTTTGGATTCAACAATTCAACCCATTTCAAAAATTGGGTCAAGTTTGGGTTGACCCTTTGACTCGAAATTGACCCGTTTTTTACCCGAAAACCCATTTTGTCTTGAAAATCCCGAGATTGGCCCGTTTCAACCCTTTTTTTACCCAAAAAACTGAGATTGACCCTTTTATTACCCAAAAACTAGCAATTTTTTTCATGGACCAGGTCATTCGGGACTTGTCGAGTTGACGCAGACTTGAAGCAAGTCGGGTTCAGGTCTAAAAATTTGACCCGTTTGCAAAAACAGGTAAGTTTTGGATTCGACCTGAAACCGACTCGTGACCTGAAATTGACACCCTTACAAACCTTTATCCATCTAAGCCATAGTCAAGACATTCATGCTCGATACAACGAGCTATAAATGTATATTAAAATATTTCTCTCCCACATACACCTGAAGATCACACTCAGATGCTACTCGTCTTTCTACTTTAATAGGGTAGTCTAGATCACTCTGCCATCTTTCATGACAACTATCGAATAATATTCACCCTCTTCCATCTCGACAAGGCGACTACTGATTATTATTCGACTTTATCTAACTTGCCTTCTCCAGTTGCCGACTAGCTCGACATCATACGAGTTATTACTATTGATCTACATGACAGATCTGTATTATGACATAACTCCTACATCCTTTTGAACCCTATAAAAGGGGGCGGAAGATAGGGCACTAGGTATCCGTTTTCCTCTTAAAAAACATCTTGAACTTTTCTTTCTCCATAGAAGAGTATATATAAAAAATACAATGAAGAGGGAAAAGAAAGTAAAAGATATGTAATCCTCAAAGCATTGTAGTACTCCTCTTATATAGCTCAGGCTCTATGGTGTAAAACTCTTACTTTCTCCATTCTTGTATTTCTAGCTTGGATTATAAAAATTTTGTCAGAATTCATCTATCTCATCTCTCCTTTCCCTATATTTGGATCTCATTGCATTCAACCCATAGACTCTTAGCCTACGAGTAGCATAAAGTATGGTCCAATGTCATCTATATAACAAAATGGTATTCAAAATCCTTTTATATAAGGTGAGCATGCATCGATGTCGAAGGTGAGAAAGCCCTCGCGTACCAGGAAGCATAAAACCTTAAAGATTATCATGATTCCCAAATACATTACTTGCCACAAACTATAAGCCAAAGAGGAGTGCCTCTTAAAGTCTATTAAAGACATTCTCATTGTCATTGACCATCCACCACATACAATTAGTGTGTCCAATGGACCATCCAATCCTGGTGCTTTCCAAGAGCCACTAGAGGAAGCTCACGCCTCAAAAGCAATATCCAATCCCACTCACCCTCATATGAGAGATAAAAAATCTATTTTGATTATTATGTAGACCAATAAAACTAAACTAGGGCCGACCAACACCTTCTCAAGACTGATTTTCGAAGCAAGAGTGTCTTCGAAGTTCAAGGTACCTCACCTTGAATCTTACATAAGAGAAATTGATCGTATATATCATATGGTGAATCTTTAAGTCCATGACCTCTCTCCTTGAAATCAATGACACCCTTCAGTGTCACCTCTTATTTACTACTCTGAGGGATTCAACGCTAAGGTGGTTCACTCGCTTACTCAATGGGGTGATTACTCCGTTCTATGAATTTAAGCAAATGTCTATTACCAACTACCAATTTCTTGGAATGAAATTCTTGATGATGTTGACCTCATTTTTATATGAGGTCACTTGGTCCAATCCTGACCTTAGATAAATTCAACTTCCAGGAAAATCTAGACTCTAGGATCCTCCTAGAATACAGACCCTATGATTTACTCTGGACCCTAGGATTCCTTCAGAAAAATCTAGACCTTAGGATCTAGTCTAGGTCCTAGGATCCTTCTAGACTCCAGACCCTAGGATCTGCTCTAGACCTTAGGACTCTTTTAGACCCCAAACACTAAGATTAATCCAGACCCTAGGATCTATCTAGAACCTTAGATCAATCCAAACCTTAGGATCTACCTAGATCTTAGATCAATCCAAACTCAAATTTAAGGCTAAAGGTCCAAGTCTTGAAAGCCTTTTCTAGTAAATTTTCAAACACTTCAAAACCTAATCAAAAGACCTCTAATTCATAATCTATCAATTTCATATTGATATGACATGTCTTTAGAGGGAACCCTCCAAATTTGAGCCCATTTTGAGGTCTCTAGCCTCATAAATTGAATTGAAATCCAAAGAATATTTACAGCCTATGCCACTGGACCTGCCACCCAGTGGATTTTGACTTTGGAGCTTCCTACAAAGCCTCTAATCACTTCCAGACACTTGATTATGACCTATCGAACATTAAACTACATTTTGGTGGACCCATTTTGACCCCCAGTTGACTAGGGATCAGAATGACCAAAGTACCCCTTAGGGGTTCAAATATCAATTTCAAACCAAATGAACTCCAGATGAATTGCAACCACTTCCACCAAGTTTCAAATATCAAACCAAACCTGTTGGATCCAAACCCAAACCCTGGGTCAACCTGGTTGACAAAGTCAACCTAGGTTGACCAAACCGACCCTTTCGAGTCCAAATAATCATTTTGATCCAAATGATCCAATCCAGACCCTAAAGCATTCAAAATCAATCCACCATATGATTCAAATATTCTCAAACATTTCTCAACTCAACCTATGATGACTTTGACTTAGTCAAGTCAAAATACTTGGTCAAACCTAACCCACTTGGCTAAATCTCTTTTTAAATACTAAAATTCCAATTTCAAGTCATCAAATCCCTTTCAAAATCAACCCAATCAGCTCTTCAAGCCTCTTTGGTTGCCACCTCAGCCACCCAAGTCAAGTTGACTTGGTCAACTCAACCACACATGGTCAAACCCTTTTAAAATCCCCTCTAACTCATCTCAAGCATCAACCCCTATGCCTCAACCCTTTTTCAATCCATCTAACTAGCAGCCATGGGCCACCTAGGTTCCACCTCATTAGTCAACATTCCAAGTTGACTGGTCAAACTGTCAAACCAAGCTTTAAATGGATTAAACATGCTCAAATTAACCCCTTAAGTTAATTCACTCAACCCAAATTATTCCAGCAGATCTAGTGTGCTCTAGAACCTTCTTATCTATCCTAGCCCTTTGATCTGGATCAGATGGCTCCTATCACTCTCATGTGCTTACAAAAGGCCAAAGACACCTTTACATGTCATGTGTCCTTGTTGTGCTATGATTCTCTGATTCTAACAACCTCAGGCCAGGTGTTGAACATCTGAGAAGTCCCTAAATTAATCTCAATAGTCCCTTTTGGCTCTAGCATTTTGGAATAGGGTAGAAGGGACGGATTCCTTCATTTGAAGTTATCTCTCTTCCCAATGCATCTCTAAAGCTCCTGGAATTTTTTTTGAAATCTCAGAGTTCTCTTCCCGTTTCCAATCATTTCCAGTCATTTGGAGCTTGCCGGAGACGGGATCAAGGGCAAATCGAAGTCAAGTTCCTCTCAACTTCTTAAAGTCCAGTTCCAGTGATCCCTCGAGCTCTAGGACACATGGACAATCTACAAGTTCATCCGTGTTTAGATAATGCAAATCCATCGATTATATCTCGGTAAATCTTAAACCCTAGGCGTTTAACTAGGTTCTTAAATAACTTGATGATCATTGCATTAATGGCTTAGAAAACTAACCCCCACTCTTCCTTAGTCCCTAAT